CGTAGATTTACTAACTTGCTATCCTACAGTACATGCGTTCTCGTGTCCATCAAGGAACTAATATCACTTGCCTATGGTGCTAAACCTCTTATGTCACGGCCTCTGGCTTAACTATCCACCTCGAGTTAGGTAATTACTCCTCTGGTCTCGATCGTCACAAGATTAACAGACAAGTTTAACAACTTGACCGCAACAACGTTATCACCAAGCCTATGATCACCTACCCAGGCTACATAAATTCACAAACGATTGCCACCAGCCGATCCTGGAACGGTCGTGCTTACGAATGTCCTCTCAGTTGTAACCGTGAGTTTACCACTCTGAATGGACTGAGCAACCACCTGAGGAGTCCATTCCATGAGCAAAACATTTACCGATGTCCTGGATGAGGTTGTGGCCGAGAGTACAAGGTCTTGAGTGGATTGGTACAGCACGTTGAGAGCGAGAGCTGTGGAGTCATGCGCTTCTCTGCTGTTCAGCAAAATGCAAGGATTGGTGCTCAGGGAATGATCGGACGGATGATTCAGGAATTGTAAGGACTTTACTCTATTGATGATGTAGTCTTTGACTAGCATTACGAGGACGGCCAGAACCTTCTTGGGGATCTTTGAGTGCGTAATAGTCGGTGTTTAACGAAATTGTGCGTAATGATGGCCCACTATGAAGATTTAGACACGTCGCTATTTCGCTATGGATTTCGAACGTTACATAGTATTTAATATTACCAAGAATGAATTCCAAGTTCATTACAAACATGAAATTATGGCCGGATACCTGTGAAATAGCTAGCTTCTTCCCGGAAATATTTGGCCAGATTCATTGCTGTAGCACGGAATTAGAGGTGACTTGTTCCTTCCTATATGTTATGAATAAGAACGCTGGTATGTAGTACAAATGTTTTTAAGAGCCCCCGAGATTTCAAGGTTCTCTTTCCGGAATCTATACTATAATGATAACTCCAGACTTCGGACAACACAAAATGATTTTTTGAACAGAAATTATGTGTTAATGAACTCAAATGAGAGGGAACCTAAAGTGGAGTGGCTTTGCCCATGGTATACCATAAAATGGAATTATACCAAAAAGCCGGCGCTTGCAGCAGTAACTGTATGTGTAAAATTCCATGCTCATTAGGAAAAGGGGTTGGAGGATTACTTCCTTGGCGAATCGCCTAATCCTCAGACGCAGCGGTTAATAGATAAACTCAGCTGTGTAACATGTCAGATCGTATGCCATGCACTAATACCGCCTCCAAAGCTCTCTTAAGAACCCCAAGGTTCTCCTTTGTATTTCATTTACTTTTCAAATTATTGGCAAATATGGCTCAGTCTGACCTAAATAATTCCCAGACGCCGGTGGGCACAAACAACTACAACTTTCCTGCCTCGCTTAATCTCTCTAATAAATATCCCTTCAAACTTGAGGAATTGAAAGTCTTTGATCCCCGAACTACACTGATTTTCGCTTTGGATTTATTGCTAGCCGCCACACCAATCTTCTTCCTCTATCTTTGTATCGCAGCCAAAAACCTCCATGATGAACCTATCTCCGATAACCAACACGGAGAAAGAGTCATACAGGCGACAAAGATTGGACCAACCTTGTTTCCTATTGTTTTTGCTGCAATTGTCAGGCTGAGATTGAGAACGATAGCGAGTGACTCTGCTGAAAGAGGTGCCAAATTAGGCACACTCGAGTTAATGACGTCCAGCCAAATGACATGGGCTACTTTTGAGCATCAAGTACAGTTTTGTCACTTTACGTATCTCGGCAACTTGATCTTGTTCTTGTGGGCGTTATCTCCGATTGGTGGACAGGCTTCTCTGAGGTTGAGAACCACGCGGATGAGTTATCAGAGCCCAAAGTTCAAATTGAGGTAAGGATTTAAGCTCTTAACTAAATTTTGGTGGCCCTGAAACGACACCAGCCAGTGCTATTAAGACCTATTTTGGCTTGAATGCTACACCCAAAGATGCCGTAAGTAGTCCCAGAGAACCAACGCCATGTGAAATAGGCGTTCCTTTGTTGTTGCAGCATCTAGTGGTACAGCAACTCGCGGGAGCGAAACCTATGTTTGTAACATTACTTGGCTCGTACTCTTGCTCATAAGTAGTGTCAGCTTACTTGCAATTGGTAATTATGGATTTGATCTCAAACAGTCGACACTTGCACCGGATATATTCAGCTATGTTACAGGCATGACCCATGAGAATCCCCACCTCGATTTATCTAGATGGAGGACAACTTCATATTTCATTGAAAGAAGGAGACTCTTGAAGGGTTTGAAGGTCAGGATTGGAGATGTGAGAGGAGAGGGTGATATTGGGTATATTGCATGAGCTATAGAAATGAAAACTAGGAGACCAGAGAAGAACAGAAAATACTAATGATGATTATAATAATACTGAGTCTGATCAATCCTTGCCTGACAGATCCATCGTTACTTTCTGGTAAGATAAGTGGTCGTTACTCTGTATGCACCTCTCTTTAAATAAAATTATTCTAAGAGCGTCGTATAACTAAAATAGTTCTATGAAAAATTAGAATAATTATTACCACTTACTATGTAGTAGCCTAGGTATACTAATACGATTAATTTCACTTATGCCCGAGGTTTAGTATAATAACTTTTTATGTAGTGTATAGGGTAAAGAAAGGTTGAAGGGAGTACCATGTGCGAGGTCATACCTTAGTTACTCGATCATGTTCTAACATCATAGCCTGGTTGATATTTGTGCTCAGAGAGGCTGGACAAATCGGATTGTCACCCTGACCTGTTGATATGACCGCTTGTGTCCCATTTCAGCGAAACCAATTAATTAGAAACTCGGATATGGGCGTTATAGACCTTTACCACATATAACATGCGTAACAAGAGTTAGCGTTAATTATCCTCCCTCTTGATTTTGACTACTGTGCAGCTACTGTACTATTTGCCTTCTTATAACTAGCCTATTTACAAAATTTACCTTTTTCCCAAAACCAAAATGTCACATTGTAGCCAAATTCATCTCTTCTCTGGACTAAATCATTCTTAAAATGATAGCTCATCTCTCAAAGATGTTTTGGCCCCTTCTCTTCCTGTTAATCTCTTTACAAGCACAGCTCTCCAAAATTCAGATCAACACTATTCGCTCTTCCACTCCTTTAACCAACTATTTAGCCGTCAACATCTGTAACCAGACATCTATAGCCAGAAATCGAACTCTTTCTGGAAGTTACTAGAAAAGCAATAGCGACCGAGTAAATAAACATTACCTGACTCTTGTCAACAGCAATATACCACGCCCAGTGCAAGGTGTACAGTATCAATAATCTCCTAGATCTTCTTATATCCGACTCTAGGTAAGCATTCCTACTATATCTAAGTATAGAAGTAAACAATTCTTAGCGACAACGGGATATCCCTCTCGTTATTCTTTATTCTAGAATGTTTCAACCAATTAACCCAAAGCATCTGGGAAAGATAAATTTGACGGTACAATGACGTCTATTGACGGATGACACCCAATCAATTACTATGACGACGGGGTTTCGAAAATTTCAAATATCATCCATATAAAGTTCGGATGATGATACTCTTCCCCCTCTCCTCTCCTAGTTAGAGATTAATTGTGAACTTTATTGTTCAGCGAGTGCACGGTAGTTTCGGCATACAACTTTAGTGTGAAGCTGCCAGAAATAACCTCCAATTGGGAAAGGGGGGAGGAGAGCTATTCCCTGTTGTTGAAATGGATACCCCGCTGCGGCATCTGCTCTATCCTATATGAAATAGCTAAGAGTCCAGTTTTTAAGTATGTTGAAGCAAGTACTTTCTATGCTTCTCCTGTCTATGTTTAATTCTAAAATTATAAATCAACATCTGGCATATGTACTATCCACTAAAAGTCGGATATTTACTGCTGAAAATGTCAATTGTAGTCCTCTCACTAGTTGCCCTTCATATGTAAGCTGAAGCTGCCAAACGCCAAGTTCTGTGATGAAGTCATATTTCCCCAGCTATATCAAACCACATTATCGAAATCCTCTTTCCTCCACACATGAATATTTTCTTCCTTTCACGGTGCGTACGTGTGTAATGACGACTCTGCTTGAGGTGCGATCGCGGATCTCATGCCGTGGACTCAAATACAAGAATTGGCGACAGTGTCAAAGTCCAACCCGTGATGTTTTATGTACCACTAGAAGTCACTTTGCTGAAAGCCAAGAAGAATGGAGTCAGAAATCTAGCATGATCGATTGAACCATGCGAATTCTTCGTCGCCCGTTTTCTTGGGTATTCCTGGATATCCTTACGGTCGAGCCTCTTGTAGACTTCGGATTTACTTGTTTTTCAGAGTTTCGACCTGCTTTTTGCGAGGCGAATACCCATCCTGCGAGTAATCGCCAGCGCAGTCAAAAGGTTAATACTCGTCCAAACGTTTTATGATGGGGGTACAAGTAGACTCGTCCCAATGCGGCTTTGACAACGGCTCCACGAAGCTCGGATCGGATGGGCTCCGACGACAAAAGACACAAGATCGGGAGCGCAGGGATCCGGGGAAAAACCAGGTTACGGAATCCATATGAGATCGTCATCATCATCATAAGCTTAAACAACATCGGGCCAATGATGCAAGCTGTATTTGAGCGTCAGCTGGAATGTGTGGAAAGCTGAAGGCATTCTAGGCCGGATTGGGAAGGGATGCTTGCGCATCGTTTTCTCGCTAGTGGCTGAAAGAGCTTGGAGATATCGTGATCTCATGGGATCGCATTTGGGATTCATGGAGAAGAAAGGACACAGAGGGGAAGGAGCCCCCTCGTATTCCTTTCTTTGCGGATGCCCTAGTTTCCGGCTGAGGGAAATAAGAATTCCTATAGAATCTCAGATTTCCCGTGATTGAGTTCTGTCTCTTCTCCAACCAACCTCTTTGTGAAAACATATCGAGTATATCCAGCAGATTTTCACTTCACTGTTTTTCAATTCCAAACCCATTAAATTCGTCTCCTCTCAAGTCAAGATGTTTTTCAAACCCCTCGCAGTCGCTTTTGCCATAGGCAGTGTATCTGCACAACGCCCAAGCAATACCTCCATCTGCGATTTCTATACAACCGCCTTGTTGAAGAACAATACTGCCGCAAACCAAAGGACTCTTCTCACTCTTCTAGTCAACACTGCTGTGATTGGAAACTGTATGGTCCCCTTCACATCCCATTAAGCTCCATCGCTTACACACTACAGACACACAACCCAACGTCGGTGTTTCCGTTCCAGGTATCCTCGCAGCTGGAACCTACAACGGCACTGCAGTCAACCTATTACCCTATTTCAACGGTGGTCTCGCCTCGACAAATAGAGGCGGAAATGTAGGTCAAGCCGTCAATTTTCTTGACGGTGGTGGAGCTGCACCTCTGAGGTCGAACATGCCAGCAAACGATCAAAGTTCAAATCAATAGTCAGTTGTACCGTTCAGTACACTTCTCATGACTTTGAGCTAACACACTTATTTCTTAGTACCCTTCTCACTCACTTATACGAATACTTTGGTTCTCTCCTTGGCTGTACCCAGATGAACACTACTGCATTCCCATCATACAACGGCGCAGCTTCACAATACAATGTCCACAAGTACGCGCCCATAATCACCCCTCTATCCCACTCCTCATACTGACAAATGCTAGATTCATGGATCTCTCACCCTACGAAGTAGGCTACTTCATCCAACAAGTCGCCCTCTCCGCATCCTCCTTCGGCGTAGCCCAATCCGACATCGCTGCTGCAGGCACAGCCCTCAACTCCCTCTTCAACGTCCGTTGTGCGCCCTCTACAGTCGTCGTTCCATCCCAACCAGCCGAACTCCAAAGCATCTGCCTTGAAAACTCCTGTCCTCTCGCACCCAACAATACCTGTTCAGCTTATGCCGCGTCAGTCCAGCCAGGTGTTGCAAATGCCACCTTGGCTGGAAATGCGACGAGTACCACACCAGGAGGCTCAACACAGACGACTGCCACTAGTGGCGTTGGTCGCGTGGTCGCGGAATTAGGTGGTGCCGTCGTTTCCTCTGTGCTTTTGGCGGGAGTTTTTGTTTTCTTGTTGTAAGAAATATGAGATGGTGGAATGTATTTATACCCAGGCTCGACCTGTCAGTTATAGTCCTTGGACATCCAAGGACTCCCCAAAGAAATAAACAAACTAATAAGAAATGTGGAATAACACAATTCATTATCCTTCAAACTCTCACCTCATACCGCTCAGAAAAATCACTTTTAGCGAACCGGTGGCACCAGGTGGTAACTGCTGTAATCAGCGTTAGAAATGATTTGATTTGATTTGATTAATAGTACTTAACTAAATCAAATTAGATTAATATATTAATTAATTAAATTAAATTGCTAAGTAATTAGATTAATTTAGATTAATACGGAGCTTGGCCGGTCCGAGACTCAGGCGGGTAGTCCGAGCCGGCCGTAGCTCGGATTATACCTGTCCGAGCTGCCCTCCCTTTGTATAAGTAAGTTAATAAAATATTTATATATTAAAACTCTTTACTTATTAGTTATATAGACTCTACTTTTACTTTATTAGTAAAAGGCTTATAGTACTAGTTATAGGATCACGTATAATTACATAACCTACTTTATTTTATCTTATAGAATAGGGATATAATAATAAAAGAGACTCTAAACTAGTAATAAGCATAAAAAGCTAGGGGTATTTTATAAATAAGGATAAGGATATACTACTAAAAGACGTATTATTTAAAAATAATTACTTTATACTTTAGTTGCTATTTATAGTACTATATTAATTAATTAATACTCTAATTAACTAATTAGTTGATTAAATTAAATTAATTTAAATCTAAATAATTTAGAGTATTAATTAATTAGTTTTTTTTTTTCTAACGCTAGCTGTAATATCTCTACACCATCTCTTCCAGAACCCAACCCCATACCCTTTCATTATCACCCTCCCTTTATAGCCAAATCTCATCAAAAAGAGTCCCCTTCGACCACTTCCGCTACCTGCCTCCCCACTTCTATCTTAAAAGTCACTTACTGTACCAAAAGCCCTCCTAGAGTCCTACTAGTCTACTGAATCTATCCTATCCCATTTCCTCTATAACCCCTGAGAAATGATCTCTACTGTTTACCAAAATTTCACCTCTCTCACCTCACCTCACCTCACCTACATCAGACCACAAAACCAACTCAACTCAACTCAAATCAAGCATAGAATCTCAAGAAACCGCAAAATGAATTAATTCAACAAACATGCTACGCTACAAAATGCAAATGATGAACCACCAATCAACCAGCCCAGGAAACAACCATTTCTTTTACTGTATCCCCCTTCCCCCCATCCATCCATCCATCAACTAACTAATCTACAAAAAAGGTTGTTTGATCTCCCAAGGCTTTCTTTCTTCTTTCTTCATTTCTCAATCCCTTACTCGCCATCCATCCATCAAAGATCTCTCAAATTTCCCTCCATTCATTTCCATTCCATCCCCCATTGCCCCCTCGAGCGTGACCAACCACCAACCGCATTATTACCATCATTTTTACTTCATACGCCCATCCATCCGGCCAACTTTAAAGATTCCCTTTCTTCGGAAGATTTGAGAGAAAAAGTAAGTCCAAAGTCCACCTCAACAAGCTTCCTGCTCGAGGCAAAACTAGTGAAGCAGAAAAGAAGAGAAAAAAGAAAAGAATTATTTATTTCGCAAAAATGCTCCGATAGTACTGAATGCTGAGATCAACAGTATGATTCAGATATCGATCCTCCGTAAGTGGCAACTCCAAGACTTTTGGTAAATCCACTCGCTGAGATGTATTAGCATGTGTCATTCAGAATAGATTAAATGGAAACTCACCTGTCCTCTCTTTCCCATGGCCACAATCTTCTTCGCAACAGTCGCACTGATGGTTTCCACCGCCACTCGCTCCATAAAACTTGGCTGGCTCTCAGCCTGCACCACACGAGGAAGACTCTTGACCAGCCTATCCAGGATAGTTATTTGATCAGCATCAGACAAGTTCGGGCCAACAATTTGTAGAAAGTCCAAATAGACCTCCCCACCAACCGGCCATTCAGAAATGGTATGTTCCATTCCTTTGAATCCATCAAGAAGTGTTTGGAGAACGTCATAATCAAGCTCGATAATGCTCTTTGGTGCTACTTCTCTGGCGAAAGTTCGATGAGCCTCGTTGAATGAACCAGCTTTGATCAAACACTCCACCTCGGCACGAGGATTTCGTTCAACGCTTCGCATGTACAGAGCCTTTGCCTTCCAGATCCAAGGGGCAGGTATCTTGAGTTGCGTTGTCAGAGTAACAAAGCTTTGACTCTCTTCAGAGCCGATACGTCCAGCAAATTGAGCCAAGTGCTTTTGAATGGATTTGATACGAACATCGCTATCCGACAGGTGAAGAAGGACAAATACTGCGTCAAGCCAGCTTCCTTCACTTGTGAGTTGAGCTGCAAAAGATAGGGTAATCTCGTCAGGTTTAGAATCATCTACAAGGGTAACAACATTGGCGGATGTAAGGGCCTGACTTAGTTGCCAGGTTAGTCGAAAATTCAGCGGCGAGAGTTGAGAATTTGCGGGTAGCAAAACCTCGTCGATTGAAACATTATGGAATGTGTGCAATTTCAAAAGTCCCCATAGTAGATCATCTCGCTCTGCTTGATCCTTGTCTTTCCAAAGAGTTGGTACTTTCTCCTCAACATACCAAGGATGTGGTCTGGTCGTCTCCTTGGCGGCGTTGAGGTCTGTTGCAAAGCTCTCAATAGCACTTTCGATCGGCTCAGTGGGCAGAGTTCCATACCAGAGACGAAGCCCGAAAGCCTGTCGCCAATCAAGTCCGAATCGTTTCGAAATAATGAACGAGTCGATACGATCCTCGCCAGGAACTTTACCGGTACCATCGCAAATACAGACATTCCCAGCCAGTAGCTCATAAAGGGTTCGAACTGGCTGACTAAACTCAGAAAGCACTTTCGATTGCTTCCAATCAGAAATTTGTTGTTTGATGTCCTTTCGAATAGAATCCTTGGTACCGATGACGGAAATCAGGGTCGCCAAATGGAAATTCTTGCCAGCAATAAGATAAGCACAGGCGTCAGGTACATTGTGCGCAGAAAGGGAGGCTATAGCCTTTTCCTCATGGGACTTGGCGAGAGGAATAGTTCGGTTCGACGCAGGGCTGACCAATCCTTGCCAGAATGCTGACAACTTGTCCTTCCGAATACGCTCCCGGATAGAAGGAACTTGTTCCAGTTGTTCTGGGACCATAATCGGATCCCACAGAATACTGGCAAGTTCCCAAACAAGCTTCTCGTGATTAGCAGCTGGATCGCGAGTTGCACGATTATCGCAGAAGGCCGACAGTTGGAAACCCCCACGTAGCTCTGCATAGGGAACATTGTCGGCTGTATCAATTCTTGTGAAGCTCTGTTGTATTTGCAGGTGTTCGGCAGAATTCTGGTAAGTCAGCATTGATCGCCCAATGACAAGAAGAAATATCGCTTACTTCGTTAGAGATTTTAGCAAAACGAACATCTCGGCCCTCAGAAACTATAGCTCCTCTCTGGACTGCGAGTAGGCCATTGTTCTCCAGTCTCCTACTTGGAGACTTGTTCAGAGCGACAGGATCAATCTGGGTGGAATATACCAATGTACCATCATGACCCCAGCTTGGTTTAAACGACTCGTAAAATTGGCGATCCATCGCAGTCATGTCTTTCATGTCACTGTCGGATGTTTTGGGAATTTTCGCATATGGCCACTAGGAGAAGAATATTTTAGTAAATCTCTTTTATTAATTGCTACATACATGAGCGGGCGCAACAACCGGCCCTTGTTCATCTTCATCTATATCGCATCATGCACAGGATGGGACACCAACCTCAAAACCCTTTGCTTTTGTAGGGACCATTGCAGGCTTGATCGGACTCTTCGTTTGGCCGAATAAAGAATTCATCAAGTCGATGCTTGTAGCAAACCCACGAGTATCTGTTGCTCCTCTCTTTGTTGGGGAAGGCTGAAACTCTGATCGCGAATCGTCCTGAAATTGAATCAAGCTCTTCAACATTGCACGATCCTGCTTCTTGGGGCTGACTGTCCTAACCAAGGCGGCTGTCCAGTCATTACCAGCTGCAAATTTCTTCATGGGTGTTGCAGCCTTCTGAGAGGCTCTCAATCTTGCTCTGACCAATGCATTATTCTCACCATCCATATCATCGTAGTCATCCTGCGAGTCTTCAAGCTCCGCGGTGTTGTCAACCTCAGGATAAGATCCCGCCATATCTTGATCCACAGTGCTGACAGATTCTTCGTCTTGGAATTCGTCGTCTTGATCCATAGGCTCTTCGACGCCATTTTCCGACTGAGAACCCACGGAGCGCTCATCTAAAAAAGACTCCTCATATGCCTCTTCTTCATCATCTTCCATGGTCTCATCATCAATATATGCTTCTTGGTTATCAAAAGCCCCAGGTAGAACCTTTCTCCGCTTGAAATCAAACGTATCTTCAGGTTCGGATTCCGTATGGGTAACTTGGGAGGTGGATGCGAAAGAGTGATCGAGGTGCGTATGGCTGTTTCTGGGGGTGGGCGTATCTTGGGCCATACTGAGAGTGGTTTGTTCGAGCTCGCTCAGACCTTCACCATCAGTCTCCTCTTCCTCTTCAGGAAAGCCGTAAGTTGTGAAATGCTCAACAGAAAATGACCAAACGCCTGTGTCCTTGTCGTATGAGCGGAATTCGGTGTCGGGAACTCGGTTCAAACGATCCACGTGTTTCTTAAACAGGGCACCGGATTTCTCAGTAGATGGTGTCTTACCATCCCGCTTGCGAGGCCAGGAGTTCTGTAGCGAAATAATGGCAGGGACATTAAGGCCTTGACCCATTGGTGGTTTCTTGGAGGGGTCCGCATAGACGGTGCAGGAACGCATAGAAAACACAATAATTTCGCCTGGAATCTCGTCTAAATTGAAGCGAGTTAAATCCACTGGCGTCTGAAATGTGACATGGCCAATTCCTTCCCGACCAACCGTGAAATCTTTGACCGCCTTCTGGGCATCCCGAGGGAGGGCCATGATTTCCTCCTTTGTTGGTTTCATGTAGTATCGTCCTGGTTCTTGATCCATTTGAGGAATAGGCTTCGAGGGGGAAGAAGTGGTTGTAAGCTCCTCATTTACTACAGCAAGTTGATTGTTTGATGTTTGCTCCATCTCAGGGGAGTCAGCTCTAGATAATCTAGAGCTCTTGCCGTTGGTACCATTTACGCTAGGGTTCGAGGGGCGTAGCAATCCAAGCTCTTCCGAACTAGGGCTTGATCCATTTGTGATGTGCTTGAGTGGGCTTGAGACACCGACACCATTGGTAGCGTGAGCTTCAAATGATACGCGTTTGTTCTTCAAGATTCCCGCTGAAGGCGCGGCTGGAGATTGTTGAGCAGTCGGTGGCGTAAACAGATCATTCCGGATATTTCTGTTGATGTTGAGTTTCTTCACGCTACCGGTGCTACCATATGGTCTAGAGTTGGTGCTTGCAGAAAATGCACCTGGTGCGAGAATGCTATCTTCTGGACCAAAAGTACGACGAAGGTTATTGGTAGAAACACTGCTTCTAAGGGTGCTTCGTCCAAATGTACCAAAGGCACCGCCACCAGGAGTGCTGGAGTTGCTTGAAGGACTTCCACCAGGAGTTCCATACTGGCTGTACGAAAAACCAAATCCACCTGGGCGCTTCTGTGGAGTGGAAAAACGCGACGATGATGCTGTGTTCAGCTTGTACATTGGTAGAGCGGTCGTCGACTTGCGCTTTACACTGCTAGAGAGTGGTGTTGCAACAGGTCCTGGGTTGTTGGTCGAAGTGTTCGCAAGACTACCAAACAAGGATCCACCGCCATATGCCGCATTGTCGCTAATACTTGCAGTAAGAGACTGCGAGTTTTGCTGATTTTGTTGCGAGTTTGAGAGAAGAGAGTTACCGAAGGAATTTTGGGCTTGTTGTTGGTTTTGCTGCGAGTTTCCAAGTCCCAACCCTCCAAACAAGCCACCACCTCCCTGTTGAGGCTGAGAAGCGCTATTTCCGAAGAGACCGGTTCCACCAGAGTTTTGATTTTGGGTATTTCCAAACAATGATGGCTTATTTTGGTTGTTGTTGGCACCCAAATTTCCGAATAACCCACCAGAATTTTGCTGCTGATTGTTATTTGGATTCTGTGCTCCAAAACCCCCAAACAGACCACCACCAGTACTAGGTTGTGTATTATTAGCAGCACCTCCAAATAAGGATGTGCCTGTTGGCTTAGCAGCACCAAAGAGAGAATTCTGTTGTGGTTGAGCAGCGGCATTGCCAAACAATCCACCACTGGGGGCAGGTTGATTAGCTGTATTGCCAAACAGGCCTCCAGAAGCTGGAGCAGCAGTATTAGTGGCACCAAAAAGACCTCCGGCAGGTTTTGCTTGATTTTGACCAAAGAGAGATGTTCCTGCGGCCGGTGCCTGAGCACCACCGAAGCCTCCGGAAGCAGTACTGGCTGCTGGCTGCTGTTGCTGCTGACCGAAAGGGCTGCCTGTATTTTGTGCTTGTTGGTTGTTATTGGCACCAAATAAACCTCCTCCAGTTGCTCCTCCGAAACCTGTGGTGGTTCCTGAGCCAAACCCAGATGTGGTAGCGGGCTGCGAATTACCAAAGCTAAATCCCGATGCCGGTTTATTTGCAGTGGCTGTATTGCCGAATAATGATCCACCAGCAGCAGTATTGTTAGTGCCAAATCCACCTGCAGCTGCTGGACTGCCAAAAGCATTTGTGGTGTTGTTGGCACCGAACAAGTTGCTGGCTGGCTGGGCTGGAGTTGATCCAAACAAACCAGTGGTAGGCTTTGCAGCGCCGAACAATCCGCCTCCAGCGGTGGCAGTGTTAGCGCCAAATCCAGTTGCAGCAGGTTGGCTGGTACCGAATGGTGAGCTCGTCGCAGCACCAGATCCAAACAAGCCACCTGTACCAGTATTTGTAGCTCCAAATCCAGTGGACGCTGTATTGGATGCGCCGAATCCACCGAAGCCTGTATTCGTTCCAAAGGCACCAGCTTGGTTGCTACCATTGCCATAACGACGTCCACCCGTGTAATCTGCCAATCTCAACTCATCTGGAGACCATTTTTGATATGGCTGTTGGAAACAGATATTTTGAAATGAGTTTTGCTGATTGTTGCTGCTGTTGGGCTCCTTTTCAACGAATGGCTGGAAAGGAGTGCTCGCTGTACCTTCGCAAGTACCAGTAACACCTCCCAAAGCAGTAGATGCAGGCGCTCCTCCAAAACCACTGGCAGCTGGCGCTGCGCCAAATCCAGTGCTAGTACCACCTCCGAAAGGATTCGTGTTAGCGGCTCCGAAGGACGTTGCTGGTTTGGCGCCAAAAAGGCCTCCTGTGCTGGCAGCAGGAGCCCCAAAGCCTGTTGTCGCAGGTGGGGTTTGTCCAAATCCAAATCCTCCACCAGTCGTTGCTGTCGTAGATCCTCCTCCAAATATGCTACCGGCAGATGAAGTATTCGCAGCGCCGAAGGCTGGCTTGGCCGCGCCAAATCCAGAGCTAGTTGAGCCAAAGGCACCTATGGTTAATAATGAAGTTAGCGATGGCAATTACAGTGGTCCTCGAGGCTTAATACGTCGCGACGTCTTTCCCATTGTCGGTTCGACAATTTATTTGAAGCGACTCCGTGGTCGTGAAGGAAGAAAAAAGGAGATTAGGGCAAATGGAACAAGGAGACAGCGAAGATTGATATAAAGATGACGAGAGTGCAAGCAATCGTTTCGAACAGAGACCCCAGTGCGCAGTAAATCATAGTCGACGTACCTCCACTGTTCCCGAAACCACCAGTGCTGCTGCCGAAGAGTCCACCACCAGTTGTATTCGATGCTCCAAAGCCGGTCGTTGCTGGGGTTGAGCCAAAGCCTATGCCGCAGAGAAGAAGATCGAGTAAGTGATCGATTCGTGTTGATGTTTCCAGCGTCCTCAAGGTGCAACGGCGGAAGTGGAGAAAAGCTCAAGGTGTAAAGAAAAAGCTCGACCTACCTGTATTCGTAGCTGGGGTTGACCCAAATCCACCAAATCCCGTCGATTGAGTATTATTATTGGAGCCAAAGCCCCCAAAGCCTCCAAAGCCCGACATGCTGACTATTGTCGCCGCGAAGCTGACTACAGAGGTCTATTGTCGGTCGAATGGAGATTGCGAAAGTGTAGTTGTATTTGTACAGGAAGAGAAAGAGAAGAATCGCGGACTGACGCGCCGATAAAGGGCGCGCTGACACAGTGATGGGAGTGCGCTCAGTGATGACGGATGATCGCAAACATCATCTGAGTAGTGTATTAGGTAGAAGGATATGCGTCGATGCGCGAGGATGAAGTTGAGTGTAGGAAAGGGTTGGCGACCAGATGGACTTTATGGGATTGATTGACAGAAATGGGCTTGAGGTGGTTAGCAAAGACCAAGCTGGTGGGGAGCCTTGCATGCCTTAGGCAGCAACCACAATGCTTGACAGAGCTGTGAAGGCCTGTGCTTTCCTTTGGTGAAGCCCCCTTATGGTTGTCACGGGACTCTGTTCACCCCCTTTTTGTGCAACTGGATGATTGTTACTCATCCGCTGCTTATACACCCATTGTTGCCTGAGGGAAAGCAATGGCTCTCAATCATCTCCAGTGGTGAGATTGAATTCAGTCTCGTACTTCAACTCGATGGTGGTGTTAGGCTTTCTTTGCGGTGACTCTTTTACTCGTATCATGAGTGTAATTGGAAGTTCAAGAGGCTCAGTCAGTGCAAGAGGCTCATGATTGGAGGTGCCAGCAGCTCAGTCACTCGCAATTGCTGCCTGCAAGCATACTGGATGATGATAGGTTCTACAAAAGAAGCTTGTATGGGCAATGCGGAGTTTTATGGTGGGAGGGAGATGCCAGGTCCCGTCCAATCTATGACATGCAGAAAAAAAATGTCCCCAAGGCAAGGATTGGCTTCATGTTGCTCACTTGCTTGAGCCACTTCTCCACACCTTTGCTGCTTTTTGACAGTAGTGTGGTGTGTTGGTACTCCGTAGAGTACTGGTATTGCAGCGTTGGTATTGAAGCCTCTTCTTTTTATGCCTTTAATAAGGATTTTAAAAGACTGCATCAATACCACAGTTCGTTCTTTAGCGAAGGATTCTCTATTGTAGCTATTAATCAGACCAGAGGGTGTTGGTAGGAGTACGTAGAGCAGTTCCTCGGCAATTCCTGAGGCCCAGGCATTCAGTGCAATATATAGGTACCCAAGTACCATACCTATATGTACGGCAATAATCAGCCTCTAATACTTACAATCCCCATTCATCATTATCACAAATAACAATTCATATAAAAAACCCATCTAAACCCAATTCTCAAATCCACCAAAAACCACCTCAAATTCAATCCTCCAAACATTGCCAATTTTCACTTCCCTCCAACCCCCCAATTACAAAAAGCCCAAAGAAACAAGCGCGTCGGGCCTTAAAATCGCGTCCACAACACCACACCGTCGACCCATCCCAACCTCAACCCTGTAAACATCACCAACCTAACCCATAATAAATTTCGCATCCACACGTTCGCATATCGCGCCAGCACAGCAAACTAAACCAGTCCAGTCTCCAGCACAGTACGCACGCCTTCCTAATTCCCACTCACCACGCCAATCGCGAATCACAATTTGCAATTCTTGCAACCAACCAGCACCGTAGAGAGGAGTGGAGAATCCCTAGCACCGTACAACACCACACTCACGCTCAAGCGCCGAAATCACTCAATCAAGCAAGTAAGAACCGGAGAAGAGCGAAGTAGTCCACGGGAATTCCACACACAAAACACCAAATGGCCTCAACACAACAAGCACATCCCGCCTTCCCAGCGCGCAACTACTCCAGCATCCACAACAAGCTACCCGACAGAAACCGCGACGGAGGCGGTGGAGGGGGAGGAAACATCTTCGGCGCAACGGGGAGGAACCCGAATAACGAGCAGCAGCGCGCGCCAGCGCAGGGCGGTTCCTCGGCGCCCTCCAATGCTCACCTGCAGAATATCACGGACGAGCAGCGCGAGGAGATAAATGAAGCTGTGAGTACCACTCCAATTCGAGGGTTGAGACTGGGTAGTGAAAGGGGAGGCAAGAAGCGATTGTTTGGATGCAAGAGTGAGGCTTGGTGGTGGTTGAATTAAGCAGCTCAGGTAGCTCAGTTGTTTATAAGAAGCTTCAAAGACATTTTGCGAAAGAGAAGATAGCTAACACAACACCATCCCCAGTTCGGCCTCTTCGACCTCGACAAAGACCAAAGAATCGACTACCACGAATTCAAAGTCTCCCTCAAAGCACTGGGCTTCGACCTCCCCAAAGCCCACATCCTCGACCTCCTCAACACGCACGGCATCGCGCCCTCCCCAAACCCCTCCAGCGCAAACCCCAACATCCGCTCACAACATCCCAAACCCATCACCTCACTGCAAACCCCGGGACGTCTGGTCCTGACCCTCCAAGCCTTCCAAACCGTCGCCGCAACGCTAATAAGCCAGCGCGATCCACGGGAGGAGATCCTCCGCGCGTTTAGTCTCTTTGATACGAATGACAAGGGCATGATCACGATTGATGATCTGCGGAAGGTGGCGAAGGAGCTGGGCGAGGGGCTGGATGAGGATGAGTTGGTGGCGATGATTGAGGAGTTTGATTTGGATGGGAAGGGAGGAGTGGGGAGGGAGGAGTTTGTGGGGATTTGTATGGGATGATGAGGCTGGAAGAGACGGGGGGGTTTAATACTACTTGGAAGGAAGAAGGAAATGTTTGGCTTCGGGTCCTGATATTCATGTGCAATTCACGTTGGGGCAAAGTCGCGTGTGGGGAGGATATCTGAAGAAAACCCGCCTTGAGCGAGGAAAAAGAATGCTTTTTTTGAGAGAGATAGAGAGAGAGAGGAACACTTTGTTATTATCACGCACAAGCGAAGGAGTCAGGGCGCAATTACTTGGGGGATTGAGGAATGGATACTCAAGACCTCGGGAGGATCAAACGCATTGAAAAAGGGATTTATCCATTATATTGACACAAAAAGACCGCTGCTTAAGATTCTCTCCAATCTTAAAAAAAACTAAATAATTGTGCCCGATCGCCGCTCGTGAATCTTTCCACTTTTTCGCACAAGAAAAATCTAATAACTTGGGGAAGAGCAAGGAACAAGAAAAAAAGAAGTCCTCAAAATGGCCATAACGGGGAATAGGCCTGCTACACATGCTTCTCAACCTATCCAGCAAAAAAAGAAGAGTATTTGTTCGCACGCCTGCTCGAAGAAAGGGAAATAGCCCGTAAACCATGCATGCCCCAATATAAAAAAATCAACAATCGAAATGACAATTTTGGTCCTTGTAAACCGGGGCTAAAATTGTATCAGATCACCAGCTTGACTGTTTTGGTTCTGTTGCGGTCTCGCGCCAAAGGGATTACTCTGTTGCTGACCACCAAACCCACCGCCAAAGCCATGTGACATCCCAGCAGGTCCAGTTGCAGCTGGCATTTGACGGCCTGCCGCACCAAATCCGCTCGAGTTACCTCCATACTGCGTCTGCGGCATACCCGTGTACTGACTTTGCAAGAATGGGTTAGTCCCGGTCTGTTGTGCTGTCATGGCATTGAGCCCTGCTCCTGCACTATTGACAAATGTTCCCGGTGCGGTATGCTGGGCTGGTATACGAAGTTCTCCAGTATTTCCAAAGGTATCCATTCCCTCGCCGCTTGCAAGAAGTGCATTGAGCTTGGCTTGGTGTGGGTCCATTTCCTTTTGCGGTGGTTTATATGACGTGATTGGGTTAAAGGACGCAGTCTTTTGCTCTTGTAATGTTGATAAGGTTGGCTTGACCGGGGTAGTGGCTTGAGGGCGACTGAATGCTGGCGCAAATGGATTGTTAGATCCGGTTGGAGTAGGCATCAAGAGTTGTGTGTGTTGCTGGTTCGTTGCCCAAGGATTGTTGGTGTTGACGGGAAGTATTGGCTCTGGAGCTTGTTGTTGAAATGCATTCGAGTTTTGGTATGGGTTGAAACTCGTGTGTTGTGGCTGTAATTGTTGAGCTCCATAAGGATCAAAGCCAGTTGGCTGGGGTTGGAATCCGTTCTGAAATCCATTCTGATAACCAGTCGGTTGGCTTTGCATGCCGGTATATATGTTGCTAAAGCCAGTGGGTTGCTGCTGCATATTCGGGTCAATTGGGTTACCAGACCAATCAACTTGACCCTGTTGTTGATAGCCTTGGTTGAATCCAGTAGGTTGAGCAACCTGAATGAGGTCATCATCAAATAGAGAAGCAGCATTTTGTTCTTCCAGTTCCCTTCTCCTCAATTCCTCTTCCTCTTTACTCAGCTTTATTGCTTTGGCGAGGTCATCGTCATCTGGTTCCCCGTTTCTGCTTTGGCGCTTCTTGCGGTCCTCTTCTTCCTGATACTTGCTCGCTTCGATTGCCAGTCTATATTCTGCATCCTCCTCATCGGCTCGCTGAGCACGATGTGGCCGTACTCGACGCTGGTTGTGATTTTGTTCGTAAGGGGCTACTCCTTCATCAAGACCGCTAACTCTAGATTTCCAATTTTTCCGGTCGCTTCGCTCAGCTCGCAACCGCTCTTCGTCCAATATTAACGAGGTCAACTCCTTGGCCGAAACACGAACTACAATTCATTAGTTAGGACTTTAGCGCACTAACAATGAACTCACCGTTTTGTCCAACATCTCGACCGTCTTCATCAATGTACTGGAACTCTCTCAAAGTCTTGATTATGTATATGTTCTTATGTGCCCAGGTGACGACTAATTCTGAGCCTTCGTGAAGACAGTAATCCAAGACTTTGAGAGCTTTCAGTACGTGTCGCCAGTTCTTGCCCTTGTCGTTCAAGCGCTTGTCGAGCATGTCCATAATCTCATAAAACTCGTTCGACCTATTACGCCTTGATTAGAGAGATTCATTCCATATATCAGTTGGCGCATACGAGTTGAATGTCATCTGAGCGATTTCCCCCATATCTGTCCCTGTTGGGCCCCAAGGATCGTTGCTAGTTGCTTTTGCAGTCAGTAAAGCACTAACGCGTATTAGAGCAAGTCCATACCATTCCGAACCTTGACCTGCACGCTGGAGTAGCCCTTCGTGACATTCTTCACGCTTCTTATAACCTTGGACATCTTTGCGACGGGGTGGGTGGTGATGGGTCCACAGCGAAGCTATTAGTTAGATTTATTTGTGCCGAGGGTACGAGGGCGGAGGATTCGAGAAATCGAGGAGTCGAGTATGTGCAGCAGAAGCTCAGGATCCTTAGTTGACGATGGGGTCGTACCTCAAATGGCAGCGGCGGAGGTGGGCGGAAGTACCCAGGAAGTAGGTGGTAGTTGGAAAGTCGTGCGGTTGTCGGCTCGCTGCTCCGAAATACAATTAACCTTCTCTGGATGGTGTTGATGGAAGGGAAGATCAGGATGTAATTCGCAGGGTTGCCATGTATGTTTTAATTGTCATAAGAGGCTTGCTCATACGAAGCCTTTGTGAATGGTGATCGGGAGTTCAAATTATGCGACGCCGTGGCTCAGACAGCTTGGGAAAGATGGCCTACGATGACGCCTCTCGGGCCACTGGACTGCTGGCAAACCAGTCACGTGTACGAGTACATGTATCCATCCATGATCCCCGGGCCTCAAGTACAAGGGTGTTGCAGGTGTCTGCCCAATATGAGTCTCGTTAAAATGCATTGCACTTCTACTAAAATGCATTGCACCCCCCCTGCCGCCGCCTTCGGTGACTCGGCATTTCCACTTTAGTATTATTTTGCGTGCAAGTAGGAAACGCGTCTTCATAGCTCACGGCACCCTAGGAGTCCTTTGAATAAGCAAACAACATCAGCATCACTAGTCCACTAATTGAAGCTATTCACACTTTACACGGCACCATGCCCCTTACACACCCTTCTGCCCTTACGGTCCCTGCCGCCGCTCGTTAAGCACTTGTGCCACCTCCCGCCACTCCTATGCCGCCGTTGTCCCTTAACCTACGAACCCGTATCTTTGCTACGGCTCGATTCTTTGTACGCGACAGAGGATAAGGCAATTAACGCTATAAAAGAGTGGGCGGCAACATGCTAGGGGCTCTCGCAAGGCTTTTAAGTTACTAAAAAATTATATGTCGCCGTCGAACCAAGAAGGGTATATAGTATTATCGCAAGGTGTCGGCGACAAGGTGAAAAGAGCACTTATTCTATATAGTTGGTAACTTAATAAAGCTACCTTAGTGTTTTCGAGGGATTCCGAGACGTGGATCCCTCGGAACGCCCCAGTTGCCTTATTGGGTTAGTGCAATGCATTTTAACAGAACTGCAATGCATTTTATAGTCCGATGACTGATACCTACCTAAGCTAGGTTCTGGAATAACTTTATAATATGGACATCCTCGGGACATCCTACTGTACGAGGACAGTGCAATACCTACCTAGGTACCAAGACCTCTGTAATGCCTGTTTTTCTTGTCATGCTTTTCAGCACATATCCTGGACCACCTAGATATTTCTCCATTTTTTTTCCTTACCTAAATAGGCAGTTTCTGAAGTACGGAATTGGTGCTTAAACAGGGAATCTTTTTGGAATTCCAGATCTAAGCTTGACATTGAAGTCTGGTGATACATTTTCGGTAGAAAACTTTGGTGCTTTGGTTTTGTACTTCCACTATTCCCCTCTTCCAAATTTGTTTCTCCCCACTATCCTATAACTTACATAGGCGAGGTGCATCCATTGAGCAACATCAATGTTCTGTTTCGAGAACTGCTTCCTCTCACTCAATTGAAGCCAGGTCGACACATAATATAATCGTCCCCCGTCGACTACTACTAGCCGTGTCCAGCGATCCTACAACTATTCGGACCTTGCTTCCAGCTTCCAGCTCCTTACCGAAACAGCCCCACGGTCCTTGAAAGGGGTTTGCTTGTAGCTGGCAATAATGAGCTATCTTCGCAATCTAAGCTTGCGGTGTTTCCAAACTCCCAAGTCTCATGATTCGCCTGATCTACTTGTAAATCTCTTCAAACGGTATCGTCTCCACCGGCCTAACGAGACGAGTCCGTCGTTCCGATTGCAGATCTGCTGCTTGCAACATGGCAAACCGAACAGCGTCAATGCCCATTCTTTCCCCGTTGACCCATCTCTCGGAGCTGCAAGCTAACACCTCTCCAACACCAAGTACATCATCCTCAGGACTGGGCTGGACGATATCCTTCACGGCTTCCATAGCTTTCCTCAACTGGTTGATTCGATTTTGCATAACCCATTTTCCAGGCTCACGACGACTGCCAACAAATAAAATTCGATCGGCTTTCGCGAATATGATTTGGTAGGGAACCGAACGTTCTTTGAAAAGCTCAATGATTTGTTTATCACTCTTCTTGATTCCATGTGAAGCGTCCAGGAGAAGGAATGCTCGCTTTAATTGTCTTCTCTTTCCGAGATATTTCAAGATTTCTGTCCCCCATTCTGATCTTCCTCCCTTTCCGTAACCCGGCATATCGAGCACAACCAATCGATTCTTGCCATTATCTTCCGCGCCACCGACTGCAAAGGCATTCATGAGTTTAGTTCGTCCGGGCTTAGAACTTGTGTGTGCAATCCGCTTGCAAAGTAGAGTATTTAAAAGGGACGATTTCCCCACGTTGGATCGTCCTAAAAAGCACACCTCAGGACTGTCTCCGAAGTCCATCTTTTTGAATTCCGCAGCTGACCAGAGGAAGGTTGGAGGTCGGAATTTAAAGAATTTGGAGGCATGTAATAGTTGATCCTTTGTTGGAGGAGTTGTATCCCAATGGTACGAGAGATGGTGTGGGAGCAATTGAGGTGTATCTACTCGTGGGGGAGGTTTTGGTGGCACTCGATCGTATCTTACGATACCGTCGTGTGATCGCGAAGATGTCGTAAACAGCCTTGGGAGGAGATTCAAAGGCGATGTCCGCGTACATTTCGGAGGCGCCAATTGGCGAAGAATCTGCATTGTTGGGAGGGTATGGGGAAGATGTTTGAGGAGGAGTGAGATACCCGTAGGTAAATTTACTGCGCCTGCAGGTGATGCAATCAGACAAGGCTGGTGCCAAGCTCCCAAGGCTTTGGCTCCCCCATGCCTTGCGACCAAGCTCTGGTGGTTTGGTGCTCTGTGTGGAACCTGGACCTGGACTTTCTCTACGAACCTTAGTACTTCATACCTCGAGCTTCAGGACCTCACCAAACTACGTACATAATGTCTTCTTCAACAAAACTGCGGTCCATCTATCGATCATTCCTCCGTGAACTGCCGCCACGTCCTCTGGCCGAAAGAGCCCAGTCGCCTCTACAAGCACGACTTCGCACCTCCCTCACCTCCGCCGAGTCTGCCACACCCGTTGAGCACGCTGAACAATTCCTCCAGTATGTCAAGGCACAGAGAATGTACGCCACGCTATTGGAAAGATACAATCCGGGCATGAATATGGAGGAGGAGGAGAGGATTAGGCTCACGGCTAGAAGAGTTGGCATGAATTTGCCCGAGGAGTTCACATCGCTGGATCCCAGTGAGGGAAGTGGAAACGGAAAGAGTTCGTGATAAGTTGGGAGTTGAACAGGATATATGAAGCAATGTCGTTGGTGCATGCGTCATGGTATGGGTCGAGTTCTTCACAAGACACACTCCAAAGATTACAACACTGCGCCACCGACATACAATACCTGCCGAGTGTCCATCACAGCTACTGTATACCGCATTTTACAGAAACAATTCAACCAGAAGGCGACACACACATGTTTCCAGATACAGTACTGGAAACGTCAAATTAAGCCCCAAATGTACTAAGGCTGCCAAATGTACACCATGTATTATATACAATACTCGGCCAATCACGGTCCTCATCTAGCATATCAATCATTGCTCAGCCCGTCGTCCCTCAACGCTTTTTGGGCATGACATTTTTCAATCTCTTGTCATATGTGACATTTTGATCCAACCAGTTCTTTTGAAGGCTCTTTTCCACTCTTACAGGTATTCTTGTATCAGTCTCATAGTCTATTTCTTGTTCCCTTTCAATCCTCCCTGGAGCGACCAAGAAACCATAAGTCGCTATTTTCGCATGAAACTCCTTGCCACTTATTATACTTCCGGTCATTTGGCACTCGAGATGTAAACATACTCGGGTAAAGCTTTACCTCCAAGTGTGGAGTAGTTCAGCGGGCCATGTTCGCTGAGCTAACTCGCAGCCTGTTCCACGCCTCAAAGGCAACCAAATTGTTCGAACAATATCAATCTTTGATCAGGCAGGATTTATTTGCATTCAGCCTCGACATTCAATAATACTCGAGTAGATGCTCGCATTTGACGTAATATTAAGACAACAATGCAAACCCCAGAAGTCTGACGGGTGGCATTCAGCCAGGCTTCTAGAAGGTGTCAGCCGTCTTCAGGGTGCCTAGCCTAGGTACCACTATCTTGAACTGTTTATATCATGTTGCAGATCCGCATTGTTTGCAACTACAAGTACAGTACTTGCCACTGAGTCGACGGATATTTATAGATTTATAATCTGGATCTTTTCCCGGATCTTCTGATTCTTGCAGAGGGGGGTTTTCTATTCCTTAACTTTATTCCTCTAGTTGATATATATCTTAGCAACGGTAGTTCAAGCCCACGGATATACACAAACCTTAACTTTCATGCATGGTGAGATTCCCTAAATATCCCCATGCAGCTCAACTTGCAAATTTTGGGTATCTCCCCAGCCAGCTCTCCATGAAGCCGTTGTGTATTACCCTCCCCGGAACCTGCAGATCACCTGTCGAGAACCTCTTCGTATATCTCATTCCAGAATTAGATAGCCGTCTCACTGCTTCAAGATTGCCGCATGAGCAGGCCATAATTCGCCTCTCATATGTCTTCTCATACTTGGCCATAACCGACATCCCTCTCACTATATACTTGTGTTACAGCATTTTCGGAACTTCTCGTTAGAGCATAAACATCATTGCAATTAACTGAAAGGCAATCGTGCAGCTATCAATTCTCGACCTTGCCCAAATGGCTCCACTTGTGCCTCCAGTTCCTTGGCCTGCATAACAAATGGCGGAGTGTAAGCGCCGACGGAGGTTGATACCATCACAAAGATGATCTATTGGCTCCTGGGATAAGAGAAAACCCACTTGCATGGCCAGGTCGGCACATCACTCGATTTACACCAATCGAAAGCACGTTAGAGATGGTGTAGATACCAAATTTGGATCCCGGGATATCTCGCTTTGAAGGTTCAGGTTCACACTGCAGTTCACAGACCACCATTAATCCTTGTCCCAGCTCGCAGGTTGATCAAAAACAAAGATCTTTAGGGAGGCCGGAACCCCTCCAAGTCACAACCACACGACGAGCCTCAGCATCTGTTTCATCGCTTGTTGAACTATTCTGCCATCACCTCTGGCACACGATGGCTCGATGAGTTTGGGCATAGTCGTCGACTTGGCAGAGAGTGGAATTATTGTCAAGGACACAGCGAGGTGTGAGAAATCGCGAAGCAAGGCGCTCAGTGCTATTTTTAGACACGATAATGGCCAGTCTGAGAGATCAAGCAGCTCGTCGTAGACTGGACTTGAGTCCTATCACGACGTCTCTGGCTGTTCAACAACAATACCCTACACAGACGCCGATATCAGCCATCTCCTCGAGTTCGCTAAGTGCTCCATTTGGATATCATCCGGCCGCATACACGCCTGTGAGCACCGTTAGGCAGTACAATCCACAGCAATGGACTCCTTCACCCAGTATCACTCATGACAATACCAATCACTTTCAAGCTCGAGCAGATGGGGAAGGTAAAGCTTTAAATTTTTATACGGAATCGTGGCCATCGCCAAGTGGTTTTGTGAGATGGGACTAATTGTGATCCTAGTGGTTCCTGCCCCTCCACCTTACTCACCTCCTCGAAGTCAGCCTACGTCACAACGCACATCTACGATATTAAGTGAAGAACCTTTGTCTGCTTTATCTCCAGCAACTCGAGCTTCACCTTCCAACATATACAGGAATTCACCTGAATCTGGCTCTTCGCATGCTTTTCCTCCACCGCCTCCCTCTCGGAACCGAGCAGGATCAAGCGAAAGACCACCCAGCTTGTTTGGAATATCTGCATTCACTAGGCGTCCCGCTGCCCCAGAAGCACCAAGACCGTCACCGGAAAATGTAAGTTTTAGTTTTGCCGGACACAGGCCTTCACCAGATATCAGTTCTTCCTCGCGGTTTACAGATCATCGGCCGATTCCAACAGTTACTGAGCCGGTACAACATGAAGAGCTAGCATCACCGCAAGCCAATCCACAAGCACCGCCGTCATCACGTAGGGCAGCTTCTGCAGGAGCTGTAAGTACACCATCAACTTCTCGATCTCGTGGTTCATCCTCATCGAGATGGGCACCTGGGATGCCACTACCGCCACCTCCCCCAGGCCCACCTCCACCTTCACAATCTAGATCTCAAAGTGCTTCTACCTCAGACCGAGTAATATCACCACCCACTAGACGACCACCTCATTTAGGACCAAATATGACAATGTTGGGACCAGTGCCGCCAACTCCAGCAGGATGGGTAGATGACGATACATCGCTGCGGGGAAGATCACCAAACCGAGGACTAACGATTGATACCTCAAGTATTGCTTCGAGTACAGTTGCCGAGTCCAATTCTGGCTCTAGTCCATCTGGGCTAACCAGAACGCCGCACGTAAGAGGGGAATCGAAAAGTATACGTGAGAGAAGGAACGAAAGCAAAGCCAGAAGAACTGTTTCTGCTGAAGAGAATTCTAATAACCCATGGGTTGAAGCTATCACTCCATCAGACATTTCCGTGCCATCAACCATTCTCGGGCGTAGGCAAACCATTAAGAAGTCAACCCCACGAAGCTCTAGATTTTCTACTGGAGGCGTGACACCAGGTTCGGCGGATACAACGTATTTGAGTACACCCGGGACGGGATCAAGGGGATCTACACCTCGCCCATTAGCCTCAGCAAGTCGAATTGAATCTCCCACACCTCCCTTTTCTCCCGGACAGGCAAATACTTCTTTTAATCAGAAGTCCCCCGCAATACCCCCTAAGGCTTTACCAACACCTCCACTACATTCGCGACCACAAAACTCGCCTGCGAAGCCACCAAGAATACAGACTAGTGGGCATTCAATAGCTACTCCTTCGGGATCATCAAGGCAAGGGTCTAGACCACCAACTTCAAGACATTCCTCCAGACCTTCTAGCATAGATGATATATCTCAAATGTCTCCCGCAGAGCAATTTTCCCATAGTTCCATCGAACGTCACAAGGCTTTTGCCAAGAGAGAGGCTGCAGCTGCGAATGATACAGAACGAGTTCGGTTATTCGCTGAGTTCTTTGTTGCCGAATCTCGTCTAAGAAGAGAGAGATATGCCGGTGCGATTGATGCTATGGGGTCTGAAATCCTCGAGTTGACTCGCGACCTGTTTCGGCCGTACCAAAATACCCCGAGAGACTCAAGTGTTGTTTCCCGATCAAGGGAATGGACTCCTGAATCTTCTACAGGGCCTATGTCACCGCCCGCAAGATCTCATCGTGGTTCATTAGTGTCTGCTTTACACGATAATCCACAGGCTCAGAGCTCGAATACACCCGATTCTACAAATTCTTCACCTGCTGGAAGACCTGACTCACAGTGGTGGAACGGGTATATGCCATCCCTATCACCGATTCCTAGCATGAGTGTTAGCGAGGCATTGGATGGATCTGATTCTAGAGGCCGACCTTCGTCTAGATGGTGGGAAGTGAGCCAAGAGGGCTCAACTGGTGCCCCATCCATGAATCTCGGACGATCGAAAAGAGAGTCTAAATACATGGGAATGCCACGAGAACTTAGGGAAGCTTTACAGAATGGAGATCCATCACTTCTCGATAATGGTGAAGGAACGTCGGGTCCAAGTGGTGACAGGAAGGATTACGCAGCAAACGAATTCCCTGCTGAAAAGGTTGGCTGGCATGAATCAGACCCAATGTCCTCTCAACCCACCATGCAACAAGCGAGAGCCCCATCTCGCTCCCCAGCAGCAGCAACTTTCTCCCCCGCAATCTTAACACCAAACCCCAACCATCTCGACGTCTCCCGCCTCGTAACACTACCCCCTCCCTATCCCCGTCATCACCCAGCAGTAAACAATAACCACCCTGATCTAACCTCCATACGCACCACGGTCCGCACTTTAAGTGATTTCACTGAAGTCGAAGCCACCAAAACCCGCTTCCTACAGTCCTCCGCCCAAATTCGTGTCGACAATGCAGCAGCCACCTCGAAAAGGCGCAACTCACTTCGTTCTAATATCCAACGAGAAATAGCCTCCGGGACAATGTCTTATGCCGATGCCGCATCGCTCGAACAAACAGCCGCTCAAACTGAACAAGACCTTCAAAAGGAAGCCGCAAAAGCGGAATTCGAACTCTTCCAATCACAAGTCGTGATGCCTCTCAATGACCTACTTATGGATCGCGTAGTGCGTGCAACAGAACTCTTTGAAAAACTAAGATCAAAACTCTTCGTCGACGCACAAGAACAAAGCCCTAATTATCCTCAAGAAGAAGGCGACGAACAACCTGAACTTCTGGAGAAACTCACACTTCTAAAGTGGATTTTTGAAGCCCGAGAAGGGCTACAGAAAGAACTCTTTGATTTACTTAGTGATAGAAATGATCGTTATCGAGATATGGTGATCACACCCTATCGCTTATCCGGCAACACGGCGAAAGTCACACACGCGGAAGAATTCTTCTCATCCGACGCTTTGAAGCGGAAACTTGAGTTTCAAGAACAGGTTCTGAAGAGGAGTGAGGATTTTATGGATGTCATTGAGGAGAACGTGGTGAGAGGTGTCGAGGTCCAGTTATCTGCTTTTTGGGATATCGCTCCGAATCTGGCCCGTATATGCGACCGTATTCCAGAGAATGAGGCGTCGTTGAAGGATTTTCATATCCAGATCCCACCTCAGGAGTACGAGGAGAACTTGTCGTATTACGATTTCCCCCTGTTGTATCTCTACAGCTTACTCGGGCATTGCGAAAAGTCGACGTATCAGTTCATCGAGAGCCAGACGAATCTACTCTGTTTGTTGCATGAGGTCAAGAGCGGAGTAGCGGGTGCTAATTGTCGCCTGATGAAAGAGCAGAGAGTTGTTCAGGGGGAAGATCAAACTAAAGTGGAAGAGGAGTTGCGAGAGGTGGAGAGAGAAGAGGAGGTACGTCTGACGGATGATCTGAAGGAGAAAGTCAGATGTGTAGAGGAGCTTTGGGGTAGTGCGTTAGGGGATCAGGTTAAAGGTGTCAAGGGCAGAATCAAGGGGTTCTTGATCAGAGAGGGAGGGTGGGAGGAAGATCTTGAATAGGATTTTTTTGAAGGTTATGATGTGATGAGGCTATGAGTTGGTGAGTAGATACCAGGAAAGATTTGCGTAAGAGGATTTCCCTCTCTTTTTTTGGATCAGTTGGTTGAATTGTTTCTTTTTATATATAGTTTTCTTGAGGTTATTGATGTTCGTTAAAAGGTGTATTTAGTTATAGCTCACACGAGCGATGCTGCGAAGGGGATACCCAATTTCAATTGTTCTATACCTTGTTTTTCCAGTCTTTTACTCTGTGTCCGAACGGAAATGTTGTATATTGAATCTTGCTACCTTTATATATTACTTGAATAGGGAGGAAAGTGAGAGCCAGGGGAATTCTCGTACTTTGATAAAAGGCCACCCCTATATCTCTTGGCAGGAGGAAAGGAGAATGTGGGAGGAGGATACAAAAATACAAGCTGAATTCAAGGCCTTATTAAGAACCTCTCAATAAGAAGAACGGTTAGGGTGGTTATACTTAAACACCAACGTCGTGAATAGCTTTTCCCGGGTAGAAATGTTACCTACGAATCACTTATTCAGACACTACTGTAGTAGAATAACAATAATCAAATGATATTTGGAAGATGTGATATTTCTATTAGTCACCCTGTTTATATATGGGATTTTTGATTCAGATATATTGATAAATTGATGTGGTAGAGTGGTTTTGCGTACTATCTACCTCGTAAGTCAGTTCTCTAAGTTTTATAGTAGTGGCGGTTGAACGAATCTAATATCTCTAATCTACACTTTCTCTTGGTTTTACATTGAGTACTGGCTTGTCACGGTAGTAAGTCAAATCAGCCACGTTTCAGGGTCCTGATTTCAGTCTGCTTCGTTAGACTCAAAGTAGAGTTCGCGGTATAAGATTTGTTTTGTAGAAGATGTCAACTCTTAGGGCGTCCACTTGTATCAAAGACCTCACTAACATTCTATAGACACATATGCGTAAGTCTGGAGTGCAGTTAATTTGGCGAGATCTATCTCCCAATATTCGGTTCGGTAAATGCATGACTTGTCAGCTGCGTAACCCTAAGCCAAACTCCGGCCCTGTGAGATTGAAACACTATACTAGTATGGTAGCACCTGCACCCGGCTGTGATTCGCATCACATTATGGATGTTTCGGTCGGTGAGGGCTTTGATTTCGGTCAGGAAGAGTAAGGCTATCGGAAAAAGGGGCGCCCAATCAAATCAAGGGTTCTCACTCCTGAGAAGACTGAATCAAGTGTTTGGTCAGCATTAGTAAGGTTATCAGGAGAGTCGAGGGGGGTTACACAAATCTGGGTACAGAATTCGAAGATTCGAGATTTCCCCAAGAGTATAAGGTTTTAGATGGTTATTAACTTCACACCAAAGTTCATTCTGTTGTTGATTTTCCTAACTATCGGATTCTGAGTATATAATATAAAACCTTAGATCACACAAAACATCGAGAATGGAATACAGACCTCTTGACGATGCTAAGGATGAGATCCGTATCCTCAGGCTGAAGCCTTCCTACGACCCTTCCGAAATGCTAGAATGCGAGCTGGTACATGTATCCCTGCAAGACTTCACAAAAGATTACCAACACCATGCAAGTCAACATGGCCATGCTTCAAATTTCAAGACATGGATCAAATCGCGCGTCGGGGCGACAGATAGCGACACGACTGAAAATGACGGAAGATTGATACAGGTGCCAGGCGACCACGAATATCGATTCCAATGGGGAGAGCTTGCAAGTCTTTCTTACGCATGGGGTACATCTCTCGAAACTCGAGCCATCTTGGTCAATGGGGCAACCGTCCAGGTCACTATCAATCTAGAGGCAGCGTTGCGGGCACTGGGAAGGACATCCATATTTGCAGATAGGTACATGCTTTGGGTTGATGCTTTGTGCATTAACCGGCAAGACTTTGACGAGCGCTCGAAACAGGTGCAGAAGATGAGGCATATATATAGTTTCTCCAGGGCGGTGGTCGCATGGGTAGGAGAAGAGTACGATGAGAGTGAGAAGGCGCTGGACTTGGTCGAGATGTTAGCCGGTGTGTATGAGGACTCGGAAAAGGGATGGATGCTGAGAGCGAGTTATGGCGATGATGCTGCGCGATTTTCGATCAGCTCCTGGGTTTCACTGGAGAGGTTTATGCGCAGATGGTATTGGGAGAGGCTATGGGTGATTCAGGAACTTGCGTTGGGTGCTTCGAGGGCTTATATTGTTTGTGGAGGACGATCGATCAGCTGAAAGACGTTTTGCTATGGTATTGGAAGTATTAATAAGTATATGTGGTCAGTCAAAGATCGCCTTCTTGAGTACGATATGAGCTTTCTCGAACGTGGAAATATAGACAGCCTGGGTTATCCAGGAATCCTCTCCGAATCCATTCAAGGAACGATGAACATCGGCCAGTCTCCTTCGATTCACCTCGAGAAGAGCCAGGCACCAACTACTACAACTACCAGCACCACACAGGGATGGTCATCAGGCGATAATTTAAAACATGTTTACAAAGATTTATGGAGGTTAAGCCAAAGGGAAATGAACAACGAACCAATACTCGAACTCTGGGAGCTCTTGCATGTCGCCAAATCATCCTTGTGCAAAGACAACAGAGACAAGATACACGGACTCCTTGCACTAATCGACCCTGGGATCTCGAGGGATATAATTCCGGACTACACCGTGGATCCAAAGGCTCTTTTCACCTCGGTAGCGAGACTTGTTATCTCAAAGAGTGACGGCTTAGATATTCTCCGTGAAGGATATGCGTGGAGCGAATTGGGGATACCTTCGTGGGTACCTGACTGGACATGGTCGGGACGGATTCGTGATTCGAGACCAAAGGTGTCATACTGTGCAACGAGAGCCATGCGGGCCTCTTTTGCATTTATGGATGACGGGTTTCGTCTTAAGTGCAAGGGGATAATTTTCGATCAAATCGATGGTCTTGGGTCCCATGAAGCAAGCCGATTCCAGTGGCCAGAGGAAAGTGTTAAAAATCCCAACCATAACACAAGTCCGTATGGAAGTGCTACCGCCACGCGAGAAGCATTCTGTCGTGCTATGATCATGGATAGGAAGGCACTTAGCAAGACGTCCTCCTCCGGTGGCTGCGAAGAGATATTCTACCTCCCAAGTTGTACAGTGACGGCAATGCAAAAGTTCAAAGAACTGGAATGGAATCGCTTCGCTCTGGATGGCAGATATTACCCCCGCTGGGAGAATTGGAGGAAAGGAAACAATCATCTCTGGATGGGAGATCGATACTTGAGTGACTATTTCTCTGATGAAATTCCAAAGGCTCCGCTTGAAGATGACTACTGGGATGCGTATCAGTCATGGACCCGCACTGTGACTGCAAGAAGATTGTTAGTAACGACAAAGGGTTATTTCGGATGGGCGCCTGATTTCCGGGGGGATAGCGAGGAAGAGCAAACGATTGTGGGGGATCTAATATGTTTTGTTTTTGGCTGTAGTGTTCCACTCATCATACGTCTGGCTGATGAAGGAACCGGAGGACTATATAAGGTAGTTGGAGAAGCCTATGTAGAAGGACTTATGAATGGGGAGGTATTGGAATTAAGCGACGTTAATAGCCGATATCACATTCTGCTGAGTGACGGGGATGCAAATTGTGACAGATTGACAGACATAGAAGCATCATAAATAATCGTTTGATCGTTTGACATGGTTCATTCTCAAAATAGCCTGTTCACGTCATTAACATGTTGTCATATTTACCATGTTGTAAGTCTTACTGATTTGTAGGGCTATATAGATTTGAATATGTATGTATGGTCCTCTTTTTTCTCAGTTCTCGTATGGTGATGGATACTCTAGGTCTATTGTCGTGATCGCTAGCGGCCTTGTTAACTCTATCTAACAGCACGAGGTCTAGTATTAACTATGAGAGGTAGGGTTAGCAGGTTAGGGTTAGTGGAATATGAACCCCCTTACTGTCGCGTCGCCCCCCCTTTTTTTTTTAAAAAAAACACGAAAGTTTTTATATATATATTTCTTAAGCACGCGTCGAGGTGCCTGAAAATATCGCCGACGTCGACAGTAAAGCACGAGTACCTCCGTACCTGCGGTGCATTTTTGATAAGGCTACTTAGTGTTTTCAGCAATCCGGGGCACGGCGGACCCACTTCCCATATGCGGCTAGTCAAAAAGCATTATAGCGAAATCAAAAAGCATTAGTTATAGCCTGAGCCAAAGATCGGTGTGCCAGGGCGTTGAGGGGTTGCAGGTGGCGCGAAAAAAGGGCGATGGTCGCCCTCATTTGCGACTTGCAACAAAAGACTTTGTGGATGCTTGATTAGGGTTAGTGGACAAATTTGACGTACAGAAATTCTTTTAAGTGGACAATGGGGTGCAGCGGGACAGCGGAAATGAGGGGCTTAGCACGTGGACGGGAACATCATGGTCAGCATTTTGTTTTTCTGAAGTACAGTATGTATTGGTTTTATTGTACAAGTATCGTCATGAATTATTTTAAGATTCCTAGGGATGTTATGCAAAATTTTGTTTACTGGCATCAATATATGCAATGATATAGATAACCCAAGAAAATATAATCAGAACACGAAAACCTATGCGAGACCAAGGTCCTTCTTCAAAGCTGGAAGGACACTGTGCTCGCTGTACTTCCATACCAATCCACTGTTGTGACCAGCAAATGCAGCTCCGGCCCAGTAGGTGTTTCGGGTTCCTTGAGCCTTCTCAATCTTGCTGTAGAAACCCTTATTGATTTCATCGGTAGAGACACGCAAGTTGAATGGTCCGTGGTCGGAGGAGTATGGGAAAGTGGCGACCTGAGAGGCACCTGCAGCAACGGCACCAGCGGCCTCAAGATTCTTGAGTTCCTCTTGGACAATGGACTTGGCCCTGGCATCATCGTAGTTGAGGTCGTCGAAACCCAATGAGAAGATGAAATCGCTGGCTGACTGCTTTTGGAGTCCACTGCTACCTGGGATGACAGGTTGGTTGAAAGGAGTTGAAAGGCCAACATTGGTGATGCTGCTGTTCAATCCTGCAATGGTGACGATACCGACGTAGTATCCCAGAGCGCTGAAGCTACCAAAGAGGGTCTTCTCATCGGCAGTAAGGTCATATTCGCCAATGTTGGCGATGGTCTGGGGGATGGCGACAATCAACTTCTTTGCCCGGACGGCAGTTGCCTCGCCATTCTTCTGGACAGTCAGAGTGACGCCAGTTGTGCCATCAGGGAGAGTAGCTTCACGCTTCACATCGGTAGCGGTTGATTCAAGCAGGATACTGTCGCCGAGCGCCTCTTGGGCTGCAACGTAGAGACTTCGAGTGTCGCCTGAGGAGGGTCTGATGAATTTGCCCAAGAAACTGCCAATAAGTCCAGGACCAAGACCCTTGATACCGTAGATCGCGGGAATAGCGGAGACATCACCGGTGTACCAGTTGAATTGGGCGATGATGGGGAGGAGAGGGGCAAAGCCATACTTGACAGCATACTCTCCAAATGGGATCAAGAGCTCGGCTTCGACGGGCTCAGGGATGAGGTATCCGTCGTCAATCCAAGGGTACTTGGCCAGAACGTTGGCGGTGTAGTTCTGGATACCGGACAACAATTGGAATTGTCCAGCGCTGGTTTGCTCAGGAGTTTGAGCTGGGATAGGGACTCCAACGGACAAATCGAAGCTCTGAGCGGGGGGTGTGCCGGCTGGAACATCTAATACTGGGTTGAAGAATTGTTTCTCAACCCCTAGGCGATCAAAGTAGCTGCTGACGGTTGTCGTATTCTCGAAGATTATGACACCAACGTTGGCAGGGAAATTGGTGTTGGGGTTAATGTATGTCTCGGCGTCTGTGAGCGAATTAGAATTGTCGTGACTGATAGTTCTCAAAGGAGAAGATGCACTTACGACCACCGATTTGGTTCTTCTTCTCGATGACGAGGACCTTTGCCCCCGCATCCTTAAGCCGAATGGCAGCATGAATACCAGCACTACCTCCTCCAATTACCACCACGTCAACATCGACTCCTTCCGCTCTAGTTTCAATAGGGCACTACAACAGAATCAGTTCTCTTTCTTTACAAGGCTACCATGAGATAATTACGTCGTCTTGAGGTCCAGTAGGAGCGGCCGATACATGAGAAACGAAAATAGCCAAAGCTGGCAAAGCAATACGCGAGAACTTCATGATGAAATAGTACGAGGAAAATGCAAAAGAATATGAGTCCCGGTGGGTGAAGGATGAGAAAAAAGATTTGCACCTTACGGGGGATCCTCCTATTTACATAATTGGATGATTAGCCCAGGTCACTTTAATTCATTCATTGCATAGATATGCCTCCGGACCCCGAATCGCCGGAATAGACCATGTAGCGTTTGATTGGTTTTCTTAATACGCTGAACTCTGCTTAAGCGAAGACGTGCGCGCCCTATCAAGAGCGATACCACGCCCCACTCATCCTAATTGTGTTTAGAGTTCGGTCGTATGCATGGGCTCAGACCTGCTGCATATCACCTCAAGCAGGCAGAAAGTCTAAGACAGCATTTCGACAGCTTGTCAGTGCCGGCTGTAACTGGCCCCGGCACCTAAGCCACGTTGTCATATGGGGCTTTGCCGCATAGAACGACGACGTACCCGAACTTTTTCGCTCCTTCCCCTGATGCTCGATGGCGGGGACGTCATTTTTCTTCCGGATACGACTGTTGGACATCATTTATAAAGTTCTGTTGAAATCCAACGTATGAAGTAAAGGGGTACACTTAAAGCTGCCGCCTGTCAAGGAAATCATATGTGAGAAAAGTCTATATCGCTCTTTAATTCGCCGGTTCTGCTCAACTCGGGGCCGAGCCGAACTGTTGACAGGTCAGGAGTTCGATCCGGTATGTCCACCTCTTTCCATCATGTATAAATTAAAGTTCTTTCAAATTCTAATGTAGATCGCAGAGCAACCTAACCGATATCACCAATACATGGGGTATCGTGAATTGTTGGCATAGCCAGCGTATTCGTTTTTACGGTTGCAAACTGAAAATGCTACTGAAGTCTGAATTGGCTCGTCAGAGTTCAATACCGAAGTCTTGAGAGGTGCACGCACAAGGTACTGAGAGTTTCGTGGGGATTCTCCGCTTCGAGTTGAGCGGCTCCGCCACAGAACTGACCCACGGGTTACGGTGTATAAATTTACTTCTACCCTCTTATGCCCTAGAGCGTTCTGAGCCGATGCGGACCCCTTCGTCGTCCATAAGGCTTTTGCAATCGTACTATCTCATCGACCATGCGAATATTTAGGCAAATACATCATACCACAATTGAAAGGGAAGGTTATCAGCCGTTCTGTAAAGAGATCAACAAGCGCAGTTTTTTTTTCGCCGCATTAATTCAAGGGTGTATCTCACTCGTCAACAGTTTCAGTGTTGTGGACAAGAATTTGGGGTTTCTTTCCATCTGCTTAAAGGAGCGCAACTTGCCCCTATTCGAAAAGTCTAAATTCAATCATGTGATTACGCCTATGTTCCTAACTCGATTATTTGCAGAATTCTGTACTCAATTGTGCCCTCTATATTTTATCCCAGTAGCACAGGTAAGACACATTCAAGAAGAGCATCATTTATATACGCTACTTTTGGGTACGGGATACTGCGTGATCGACGCTAGGGGATGCCGCGACATGTATCAGAAAATTCTAGTACCCTATCTAGGTTCTATCTCTACTTCTATTATTAAATTATTGAGTAACCACGTACTTAACATGCTTGATTTTAAGATGAAAATCGATCGCGTGACTATAAGGAATACTCATCGAAAAAAAAATTCTGTATCATGAACTAATTATTGAGAGGGTATCTCAGGGCTATGGTAATTAGCAAAGAGACATTTCGGTCAATTACCGTTAGATCATATCATCATAGCTACATGATAGGACCAATAAAGAGAAGTTTCTGCTAGTTCGCGCTTAGTAATTTTGGTAGCGCTGCTAGTGTTGCCTTCTTCTATAGAGTTGGCTCGCAATATAAGGGAACTTGGCCATGAAACTAGAGTATGTGTAGCCTAGAATTGGGGCGCCCTCGTCACGTGAACATGTTTATAGTCTGAAAGTGGTTAAGACGACCAAGACGGTTAGATGGGAATGAAAGTTAACATTTTACTAACAGCTTTCTACGGGTCACTAAGTAGAGAAGTCCGACAATAAGAAGCTCCCGCTCATTATGAACTTCTACGTATATGTTACGACATGGTCTTAGCTAGCCGAGACTCCTGTCTTAGCTGCCTGACCTGTCTCGGTGGCCTAGGTGGATGCATAGTATTCTAGCAGCTTCCACTCGCTTAGAGTCGTCTTATAAGACTCCCTACCTCCCTTAGCTAGCTTTCGACTTTATGCTTATCCTATTCCGCACTATGTCCTATTCGTCTTCTGACAATTCGTAGCAATGCTAGAATCTGAGCATGTCTTGTCTGTCTTTCTAACAAAATCTGCTCGTTACCGAGTAGTCCTGGACTAAGGCGCCAGGAATCGCACTTTTGTTATCCCCCGCGCGCTTTCGACACTTGGTATTTACCAGAATGCCCTCGCACTTGTACTTGTGTACTTGTACGTAAGTTACTTCTCCGCGGCAGCTTATATTTGTACCCCCCTTTTTTACCCTCGCCAGACCGGTTACTCATAAGCAACATCACGTCATTTACTTTCAAAAGGACCTGCCAGGCAGCTGTCCTCCTTTGCTACAACACCGATTCTCATTCTTAGTACCCCCCTGTTTCAGACTAATCTCTTTATTAAGTCGTTTTAGTTAAAAACCGACTGATTTCTACACTTACGAATAGCCTTAACTTGTACTCTCGCAAACCAGCAGAAAACCCTCGAAATCTGCCCTCGCGGTACGGACCGAGCTAGTAGATACCTCGTAAAAACAACTCCCCTTTCGCCTTGCTTAGCTACGCGCTTACTTTATAATATACGCGGCTACGTACCCCTTAAAGGACCCGAAAAATATTCTTATTACATTCCGACTAAAAGTAGTAATCTCTCGTAACCTCGTAATTATAAAAGAGCTTAATACTTCTACTCGAAAGCTTATTCCCTTTATTACATACGGGAATACCCCGCTAGACGAGCTAGTAGCTCTACCTACTACGAAGAAAGAGCTTGAAAAGGACCTGAAGAAACTCGGTACAGAAGTATATCACGCCATGTACTATGTAGCATCTACGTAGGACAGCGAATAGAAGGAACAAGGCACACATGCTTAGGATCCGATGGACTTTCAGAAACGAGGACACAAGGACACACACACCCCTATGTAAGTTTTCATTTATTTGGGACAGGATACATCGTATTGCTTTAGAACTGGTATAGATACGCATGCACGGATACCGGTACATTGAATTAAAACCGGCTGAATACTCCTTTGGACTTGCATTTGGACTTACATTTAGACTTGCATTTAGACTTGAATATTGGATATTAAATATCGGATTGGTACTTATAAAGAGTCCACTCCTCTTGTAACGACGGGGGCGTCGTCTTTTTCTCTTTTTTACGGGCAATTATTATAACATAGTCCTATAGTAGCCGAGGCTCCTATACTCCTGTCTCTACTACCTAACCCTTATCTCGGTTACCTAGGTACATACCTAGTATTCTAGCGGCTTCCACTCGGTTAGGGTCGTCTTATAAAGACTCCCTACTCCCTTAGCTAGCTCTTTACTCCTTAATCTACTTTTATAGCTTATTCTAACAGTCTCCTATTTTATCCCTAACAAGTACCGTATATTATATTATATAGTCTAAGAGGGAATTACTAGTAGTATTAATTAGCTCTATAATTTAATAGTTATAATAATATAAATAGCGAAGTTAAATAGTACTAACTCTATTATAATATATCGGTCTTAGTATTAGCCGAGACTCTTATTTTACTACCTAATCCCCTTTCTCTATATATACTATAGCAACCCCTAAATATATATTTTAGTTAATTAGACTATTATAACCGCTATACTATAGATTTAAGGACTATTGTGTCACGAATCACGTGTTCACGTGATACTTGTCATAATAAGAGGCGCAACCCTCGACAGGCACATTCAGATTTCTTATAGCAAATGGGGATCGCTTAGGGTAGCTAGGCGATCCAAGGATTTCTTCCTTACAGAAGATCATGTGACTAGGGAGTATGAGGAAGTATAAGGGAGGCTTATACTACTCTATACTACCGGAGTATAAGGAAGTATAAGGAAGGCTTATACTACTCTATACTCGGACCATACGCGGG